CCCTGGTACCAAAAACCAAACAAACAAACAAAACAACAAAAAAACAAGGCTTCTGAAGTATTGAGCCTTTCTGATCACCTGTGTTCTGAGAATAGAAGAAGAAGAAAAAAAGTCAAAGCTCTACCCAATATGCTAAGGGACTTCCTTTTGCGGGGGGTGTTGACAGGGTCTCACTGTATAGATTAGGGTGGCCTTAAACTCACAGTATAGTCCTGGCTGGCCACCAACTCATGGTGATCTTCCTTCATCACTCCCCTGAGTGCTGGGATTATAGGTGTGCAACCCCACGCCAAGCCAATTTTTTGGCTCATTAATGGAGGAGCTTTTGCAGATCATTGTGAGGGACCAAGAAACTAAAATACTACTAGTGAGATAGCAGGACCATGAGCCTGCTTCTGTAAAAATAATTGTAAAATATCTTTGACAGTGAAACTGGCATTAATGAGCCACTTCTTTGTCTGCTTCTGCACACAGCTAGAAAGATACCTAAAGTACACAGTAAAGGAGCTTACTAGCCGGGAATGTTAGACAACAATTAGACACATAAAACAATCACAGAGCCAGAATAAGTTATAATTAATTGTTCAGTTGTTTTCTGTGGTTCAGAAACTTTATATATAATCCTTGAGAAAATATGTGCATCCAGAAAATATGTGCATCCATATGATATGGGACATTTCTACATATTAAAAAGTTTCAAAGGCATCACTTCTAAAGAGTTTATATCTGAGAATTTATTAACCCCAAAGGAATCAGTTTTATTATCAATTGAGCACAATAAAAAAGAATGCACTGATAGGGGCCGGGGGTTTAGCTCAGTGGTTCCGCCATTTGCCTTGCAAGTGTGAGGACATGAGTTTGATCTCCGGTACCAAAAAGAAAAAATGCACTGATAAAATTTTCTGGCTGTTTGGCACAGATGTTCTGCCTATATCATATGTGATCAGTGGGGTCTCATAAGACAGTGCTCCCTTCTGGTTTTTTTGGTTTTTTGAGACAGGGTCTTACTATGTAGTTGAGACTGACCTGGAACTCACTAAGTAGACCAGGCTGGTCTCAAACTCACAGCAATCCTCCTGCCTCAGCCTCCCAAATGCTGGGATTATAGGCGTGAGCCACCACACCTGGCTGCTCCCTTCTGTATTGAAACAGGCAGTCCACAACATGACTGCTTGGCAAGTGAAAGGTCTTGAATTCAGTCCCTGGTACTGGAAAACACACACACACACCCCCCCACCATATATTTTTGGGGTATTGAGGCAAAACAAGCAACCTCACGTATGAGGTAGTTTTGCCTCTATACCCAAAAAATGTCATGTAGCTTATTTTCCCCTAGTATCAGGCATTATAGAAATAATACATATTATGAAGACATTTGTCTTTTCATAAATGCTGTATTTATTTGCACAACAAATAAATTACCTGCCTCACAAGCACAAGGTCTGGAGTTCAATCCCTGGTACCAAAAATAAATAAGCAAGTAAATAAAGGCTATAGGCATTCCTTGTTTAATGACAGAAACATTACTGAGACTGAATTGTTAATTGAATTGAAGATAGTATGTACATTACAATATTGCGGACAAAGAAATGAGCAAAGGAAACTCCAGCTGGCTGACTTATTTGTATAAGTCTTATATATGTGGTACTATAATGTTAGAACAGAACATAAAGTACTAAAAACCGTAAAACTACAGTACAGGCAGCAAAAATCAGTATTGTATAAACAAGGTGTACTGTACAATAAAAGACATTGAAGCTGTATAAACAAGATGTACCAGGGCCGGAGATTTAGCTCAGTGGTTCCTCCACCTGCCTTGAAAGTGGAAGGTTGGAGTTCAATCCCAGGTACCCCCGCACCCCCAAAAAACAAGATGTACCAAACTGTACAAAAGAAACCATGAGTCATAAATCTGAACGGCCATTAAATAAGGAACATCTGTGAATTGTAAGATGGGCATGATAATGTACACCTTTAATCCCTAGTATTCTGGGAGGCTGAAGCGGGAGGATTCCAAGTTTGAGCCCAGTGTGGGCAAGTTAGCAAGACTTGTCTCAAAATACAAAAATACACAGTCATAGAGGGCTGGGGATTTAGCTCAGTGGTGCCACCACCTGCCTCACAAGCGCAAGGTCCTGAGTTCAATCACCAGTAACAAAACAAAACAAAAAAACACATACAAATTTATAAATTGCCATTGATATAATGAAATATTATCCGGCACCAGCAGTTCAAATATGTAATACAGACAAATAGCCATATAGTTATATCTCAGAAATACTATTGTATGAAGAGCAATTTGTGCCCCCCCAAAAAAAAACAGATGTGGCAGTACATGCCTGTAAATCCAGCTTCTCAGGAGGCCTAGGCAGGAGGGTTGCAAGTTGGAGGCCAACCTGCAATACATGGCAAGACCTTCTTACTTTTTTTTTTTTTTTTTTTTTTTTGAGACAGGGTCTCACTATGTAGTTGAGACTGACCTGGAACTCACTATGTAGCCCAGACTGGTCTCGAACTCACAGGGATTCTCCTGCCTCAGCCTCTCGAGTGCTGGGATTACAGATGTGTGCCGCCATGCCTGTCTCTTCTTCTTCTTTTTTTTTTTTTTTAAACAGGAATAATTAAAAGAATGCTTATCAGTATTCAAAGTGTGGAACTTTAACAACCAGCAGATACCTAACAGATAAATTAGAAGTAGGGTGTGTATAAAAATGTACATGACTGCTTCAGGATGGCACCACTGTTTAGGCAGGGATATATACAGGTGATTCACTTTTCATACTGATCTTTTCTGCCAAGATTTCCTTTTCTGAAGTGAGTTTCTTTCTCTGGAATAAATTTTATTCAGAGGGAGGGGAGGTAGATTTTCCTTCCAGTATTGGAGAAGTTATCTACTGCTGGATCCTTGTTATTAAAAGGCTGCGTTGCCTGATTTTAGCTGCTAAATGACTGTTAGTCCTCAGTCTTCTGGGATAAATTTTCTTTAAAAATTCACTTAGAAATAGTACATAAACAATTCTTTTGTGGCCTTGAAAATTCTCATCTCTTATTTCACAGGGAAGTGATTATACTGAATTCCCAAATTATCCTCAGTTCTCTTTCATCCTGGGGAGATTTTTGGTGAGACTAATTTGGGTGTAGTATAATCTTTGGAAAAACATTCAAGTGACATTACCTAAAAGTTACAATCCCAGGCCAGATGTGCATTGTCCATACCTGTAACCCCAGCACTCTGGGAGGCTGAGGCAGGAGGACTGCAAATTCAAGCCCATCCTAGGCAATTTGGTGAGGTCCTGTCTCAAAATTTAAAAAGGCGAAGGATGTAGCTCAGTAAAGGGCCTATGTTCACCTCCCTAATATCTGCCCTTCCGTGACAAGATTACAATTTCCATTCCATAATACTTTTCTAATAAAGTATGTACGTGCATATGTGTATTTGTGTACAAACTGTAAAACCTGATTCTGGTGAGGGTAATATACTCCTTTTTGGTGTATTTCATGCTTTGCTGTGGGCCTTTTTACATCAACTGGTAAACCGTTTTTGAAAGAAATTTTATAGTAGTTTTACCTTTTACAGTTTACCTTAAGGAGTGTAAATTACAGAAACAGCCACAGGTAGGACCACATAGTACCTCACAGCTTTCTTGCCCCCAGTGAAGTTTTTGGAATGTTTATATTTGGGTGATTATAAGATAAAATTCATGCTGGCCTTTAGAAGATATACTAAATTTTGAACATATCTGGTATGAATTAAATTTTATTGTAACTCTTTTAACTACCCTTGGCTTCTCTGCTGGGAGTGTAAAATCACATCACTTGATTTCCAAGCCTGTCATCTTCTCTCTGATTTTGCCCAAAGTTGTGCTTGATGGCAGATGGAGGTTTCTGATTTCCTAGGAATATGTGGTCTAAAGATATGATGATAATAGTTATTTTTTCCTTTATTGTCCCCATATTCAGAGTGTGCCTTAACGTAATAATGACTGAAAAGTCATTAAGTGGGACTTGTAAAACTCGAACAGTTTTTTTAAACTTTTTGAATAGGAAACTGTATCTCTATTAGCTATGTAACTCTGCCTTGCTTTTCTTTGTAAAGAGGGAGAATTCCTTCATGTGATGATTGAGCATTCACCTGAGATGAGTGTAAAGCACGTAATATATACTGCTTTGGCACATCATGAGCACTTGATAAGAGGGTGGTTGTTTTATTTAGATGTGCTTGACTTCCATTCTGAGGATATGGGCCAGAAGATAAAAAAATAGTTGGAACTGTCACTGGGGGCTGGAGATGTAGTTATGTAGCTCAGTGGCACTGAGCCTGCATGGTTGTCAAGCATAAGATCCTTAGTTCAATCCCCAGTACTGCCAAACAAACAAACAAACAAACAAAAAGAACAGTAATTGGGATGGACAGTCTTTTGTGAGTTTGAACTGAACCTTAAGAGTTGGCCAGAATTTAGTAGATTGGTCATTTTAAGTTGTTCTCTTTGTACAACCTCAAAAACAAAACAAAACAGGGTCTTCCTATATAGTTCAGGCTGGCCTTGAACTATGTATCTTGAACTTTTAAGATAATCCTATCTCAGGCTCCTAAATGCTGGAATTATAGACGTGCCACCTCTCCTAGCTTTACATCCTCAAATATTTCTAAATTTGCAAATCACCTGACTTTAAAAAAATCCTTCTGTTTGAGAGAAGAGCTGAAAAATATTTAGAGTATTCAAAAAAGTTATACATATTTTTGGTGTGTACAATAGAATTTTATATTTTCATTTTTCAGTCTGGCAGCAACTACATGTGACTGTTAAGCACTAGAAAGGTGGCTTGTCTGATGAACTCATTTTAAGTTTTATTTAATTTATAACTTAAAATTAGCTATATGTGGTTAGTGGCAGTACAATGGACAAATAAGAAATTCTAATCAATTCTTTTGCAATTTACAAATTCATTACATAATTCTGTTTTTGTTTTTTGTTTTGTTGTTGTTGTTGTTGTTATAGGTCTCCAATTGAGAAACATGGCACTGTTTTCCTGCACTCTACCCACCTATTGCTGGACTTCTGTCGCAACAAGTTGGCAAACACTGGCTGGAACTGGGCTGCAATAAAACATGCCAGTCATTGATGCTGACAAGAGCCTAACAAGTGCCAACTTTCAAATGATTACGCATTTTGAATTCTAATGAACTGTTTTAACCTTCAGGAAGAATTGTAAAGACCTGTACATAGCACAACATGATCCGGATAATATATATACTGTTCATGTACATCCACATACACACCTGTACCAAATAATGCTTTCTTGTAGTAGAATAAGAATCGTGTAAATTCTAAAAGATTTTAGCAGGTTTTCTTTCCTTACTCATTGTTTCTTATCAATTTTATAAGACTCCTTAAAGCATGTCAGATCAAAAGCAATTAGGATTAAAAGTTTCCATTTAATTTCCTTTAAACCATTAAGGCTTCATTAAACTCCTTTCACTTACTAAACTTTTCTATCTTCTTTGTTTTGACACACTCCCTTTTGCTTTTGTTTCTTCTGCCAGAAAGTTCTCAAATCATTTAGTTCGAATACTGAAATAGTTAATAAGCAGTGACTTGATTTTTAATGATGACGCTAGAGGAGTGGTCATCACTAGGTGCTTTGTCCTTTTTGTATTCTAGTTGCAACCTTGGATTGGATGTAGCAATAATATTTTCTGGCTGTTAAGAGCTCTTGAACCCAGTCATTATCCCCAAGAACTAAAAAAACACTGTTGGTTCTAAATTCAATTTACTGAAATTTACCACAAACAATAGAAAATTCTTGTTTGGTTTTATTTTTGCCCTCAATAACCCAATATTAAGGGTGGATAAATAAAGCATGCATAGCTACTGGCTTTTTACTTCTGGGTTTGCTATTAAAAATGCTATTTGCCCTCACACCCTTCTTAGTCCTTCATATTTCTTTGCCTCTATTCTTCTATACTGCAGATTTTTCCTCAACTATTGTACAAAGAAATTTACGATGTATATTTTCATGTAATTTGATTTTGGAATTCTGTCACCTTATGTAGTGAGTTCTTCCAAAATACAATTTTTTCCCAATAATTGTCAAGTTGTTGTTGGCTTTTATTGTATTGAATGAAGGTTATAATACTGAATGCCAGAGAAGTGCAGTTTAGAAAATCTCAGGTTGATTCCTTATGCAAACAAACTTAATACTTGAAAATCACATGGCCATGGCAGTATGTAAATTGGGTTCTATCTAGATTCTTAACATGAATCTAAAAAGCACTACAGGAGTAAATGGTTTGCTATTTGACATACAGATTCTGTCACTGACAGCACTCTTGGATTTGATTAATGTCTGAGCATAAGTTTCATATTATAATTTTAAAAACAACTTTAATTAGCAACTGATAAATGAGTACTGCAGTGTTAGAGAGGGGCCTAGGCTTTTCTCTTTTTGTTATGAGGTTGAGAGTGGGAAGTAGTGTTTGGCATATAAGGGGTAGAACTTGAGGCATCACCAGATGGGGCATAGTAATTGATTGTGAGAATTAGTGCATCTCTGCTCTGCAGGGCTTTGGCAATAATGCTCTGGCAGAAGAGTTCAAGGATTCTTGCCAAAGTCTAGACCTCTGTCAAATTCTTATGTCCTTTTTAAAGTAGAAGTGAAATGGTTCAGGTCACGTAGAGACTGAATTTTTTCCTAAATACCAGTCTGTTTTTCACTCTGAAGTATTGTAAAAACCATAAACAATATAAAAAACAGTAATTGTAAAAATTGAGTTGATGCACTGGAGCCCAATTTTCTTTGATAATTTGGTGACTTAAAAAAAAAAACCCCAAAACTGTAAAAATTGTTACCCCAAAGTGCTAGCACTGCACTCCTACAAGGAACTTGAAATGCAATCCTTTTTACTCAGATCAGAAATTGTTCACATAGTGGTTGCTTGTGGCAAGATGGAGTTGGAATTTTCTTCTCCTATTGCTATAATTCTGCCAGCAATCTGTTAAAAACCTGGGATTTGACTCCTCAACGAGTAGCTAATGACCTAGTACCTCAGGGACAACTATTTCTGAACTGTAAGTGCCACTTTAATACAGTTGGTTTGGTATAACCATGTGGTTACTTAGGGCTAGATTTAGGGGAGTGGAAGAGCCAGAAGTGAATGCCTCTCTCCTCACTCTTTCCACCCTGTGCCCTGACCATGCTACAAACAGAAACACAGGCCTCAATGGATGTTAGGACTTCTTTTCCTCTGTCAGAGATATCATCTGTGCCTTTCCCAGTGTTCATCTGATAATGTGAACTTAAATGCCTCTCTGCTATTAAACTCACTCGGGTGACACTGAACCAGGTGGTTTTTGTCCCACCAGTGCCTCATCATTAATGTGAGGTAATTCTTCTCTGCTTTAGGAAAAGGATTTTTCCCTCCTAACCTTGTGCCAATCATCAACATCTACATAGTCCTTTGGGTTGTAGAACTGTTGGCTGTTTCCTGAATTTATTCCAAGTTCTTGTAGAGGTTTTTATAGATTCAGTCTGTGTTCATAATGGATCTCTCAGTGGCTTTCTGGCCACCTCTTGAGTTAAAAATCCGCATGAATTTGATTTCCTTGTCATTATAAACCTTGTAAGTTCATGAGGTTATTCCACTGGTTCTGTGATCACTTGGGGTGTCATGGTTATCTTTAATGGCCTTTATTCCCAGTTGTGAAATTTTATATGCTCACTCACTCTACAAATCTGCCCTCTTTGGGTTGTGGTGCCTGTGTATCTTGCCCGTCTGGTCTCCAGTTGGTGGAATTACCTTTTTTGTACTGCCACTTCTCAGCATCTTTGAAAATTTGACATAATGTTGCTTCATTCCAGTTTTCTTTCTTTTTTTTTAAGTTCTGTAATTTGTTGATTGTATTTAACTATGTGAGTTTTGTTGTGATGTTTACTGTATTGTAAAGCACCTCAATCATGTGATGGGTGCTCTATAAATCAATAAATGATGACTTAGAGGCTGTATCATGAGCTATTTTGGTTTTAGGACGCAGGTCTCAAAAGCAAATTGTGGGCTTCTTTCTATATAAACAGCACATGATATCAAATGGAGCACAGGGAAATCTTGATAAAGAATTTTACAAACTTAACCTGAAGATAGGGTGTTAACTTGACTTTCAACCTAGTAATATCCTTTAAATGTCCCTATAATATACAACCAAACACCATCTTTCATTAATTTCTGTGCACAGTAATTTAGAAACTTGAAATGAGCCCAGGGTAGAAAATCATGGGAACTTTGTTCTTTGCTTAAACTGGCTCCACCTTAAAAGATAAGTTAACAAGTTAACCAGTGAGGAACCCAGATTCATATGTGAACTGGAAGAGACCTCAGACATCTCAGTTCCCTCCCCTGTGGGGAAACTGGCCCAAATACAGTTCCTACCTAGAGTCCTTTATTAAGTTAGTGGCCAAAGAGGCAAGAATGAGTGCTTTTTTTAAAAAAACATAACTGGTATCTAGTTTTCTGTCCTGAGTCCTTGTAGTTTATGTTAATTTAGTGTTAGGTGCTGGTAACTAGCTTGCTGTGTTGATTGGTAATGTTGTTTGTTTATGCATAGTACCTTGCCATAGGTCTTAAGGCCTCTTCCTTACAAACAATACATGGAGCCAGACCTCTTAGTTAGAAACAACATTTTCCCTGGAAGCCGGTTTTATTTATTTTTTGGTTTTTTGAGACAGGGTCTCACTCTGTAGTTGAGACTGACCTGGAACTCACCACTTTGTAGCCCAGGCTGGTCTAGAACTCACAGTGATCCTCCTGCCTCAGCCTCCTGAGTGCTGTGATTACAGGCATGCGCCACCACGCCCGGCCCGTGGAAGCAGTTTTGGAAAGACAGGATCATCTCTAGGGCTTAATTTCCCTGATTAATATATTGTATTTGAAATAAAACAGTGGAATGACCTAATCTGTGGTGGCACAAACCTATGACACGTATGCCACAGCCATTGAAAGCGCTAAAAGATTTGCCATCACTAGTCTAGATGATGTCCCTGAACTTTCAATATCCAAATTGCCCATAGACATCTACTTGAGGTATAGAGCAAGAAAACTTCCATGCTGTTTCTAGTGCAAAGAGACAGGTGGTTCATTCTACAATAGCATCTGTATACGGTACTAGGCTTACAAGGTTTAGTTCATTTTCTTTCCCCTTGAGAAAGAGGGCAATAATCACCTTATCAAACTTAAACTTTACATTTTCTGGAGGGCTACAAATTCCAAAAAGTTTCATTTTGCAGAGCAACCTATTTCCCAGCTATAGTCTGGTTGCTCGGTTTCAGATTTCCTGCAATCAGGCTGCCAAGGTAGGATTAGCCTGTTTGGTTTGTTGAGGTGGTGTTCTACACTGAGCTTTAGTGAAATGATTAAAGAATTTTGGGTCCTGTTAATATAGGTGAAATAAATTGAAGGACCTTTCACAAAAGGCAGCTAGACACATCTTAGACATAACTACACAAAAAGTCCTACGCAAGAAACATCCTCCCTTTCTCGGTATCCATTAGACTCTGCTCAGGCCTCAACATACTACCCAGGTAGAGATTTTTAATCTCCCCACTCTGCCATGATATCCCACTGCCTCCACAAGAATTTAAGACAGCATCTATTTCCCACCTGCTTAATGTTCTTCCTTAAGATAACCCCACACTTCGTCTCAAGCTATGGAAAACTTGAGCGGCATATAACATACTATGTTACAGTGCTCAGATTTTTCAAAATATTGAAATTCAGCCTGCATTTATTTATTGTAGCTCAGGCTTCCCGAGTGTTGGGTGTTGTAGTTTGCTAGGTATTACAGATGCCTTACTTTATGGGCTAAAGATCTCTGTAGTTCAGGGGTTTCAGCCAGTAGAGTCCAGTACAAAGGTGTGGTTGAGTAATAATAAACCATTTCTTAAAGGAGTGGGTTCATATCTCTGCTGAGGGTTCCTTGAAGGTAGGCTGTGATGAGGAGAAATTGAAATCCCTAAGTTGTCTAAATCCCATCTGGTGAGTTTCCATTTTACCTGAAGAATCTAGTCCAAGCACACTCTTAAAAAGCCAGATATTTGTTTATTCCTGCATGTATGCGTCTCACCAGTCTCAGAATGGGTTGGGTTCTACTTCAGCTTCCTAGTGAAACTAATGACTCTGAGATGCAACATAAAAGCGTGCAGGAACTTACCCATCATCAGGAAATCATCCAGTGTAGAGCCAAATTTGTAACTCTTAACTGCCAGGATAGCTCAACTTTGCACCTCACTAAACAATGGGAACACCTGCTATGTAGCAAACCCTAGCCAGTAGTGATGGTGAACCTTTTAGAATGTTCAGTGGTAACAGCTGGCTGCAGCATGTGTGCCATAGGTTTGCTGCCACTGCCTAGGCTGAGGCCAGGGAGGCAAAGATAAGTCATGATGCAAAAAGATCATCAGCTACAATAGTACTCCCCAACCACTCAGTCATCCTGAAATAGTTTAGGGTACTCTTAATTTTAGTGTATGTGCTGCCAAAGCAAGCTCTAGTTTAGGGTACTCTAAACAGATGAATGAGCCTGCTTGTGAACAGAGGAAGCTAACCCTGGCTATCCTGAAGACTTCCTATAAACCACTTTAAATGACAGAGATGCTTGGAGCTGTACTGCTTCCATTGAGCCTGGGAAGTATCCCTTCGCACTTTGTCTAAGATGTGCTGCTCCCTCAATGCAGCTCCTCTAAACACCTCCCCGTCCATACTTTTAGCCTTGTGACACAATTTGAACATTGATTCCTGAGTACACAATTGCTTTTTACACATTCAGTACCTTCTCTCCTTCCATCTCCTAAGTATCTACCAGCCAGAATCCCCTTTTCTTCCTCAAAAATTTAACGATTGTTTCCATGATCAAAACAATTAATTCCTTTGTCACATCATCTCACTATTAAATGCTTTAAACCTCAGCAGCGCCTACAACTTCCCCAATACTGAACACTTCCCCTCTTCAATTCTGATAACCCTCATCCTATTTTCAGATCTTTGTTTCAACATTTCCTTCTCCAAGGCCACCGCTTCCCCTTCAGCTTTCACCTGTTGATGCATGCATTCTTGATTCTCCTTTGAGAAAAAAATTTTTTAAAATTTTATGGTGCTAAGGATCAAACCCAGAACCTCACCAAGCACTCTTTAAGTGAAAGGCCATGCTGTTTAGCTATAGTACTCTTTAGTCCTGAATTTTACTATTATGTAACATCCCCACATTCACAAAAGTATTTTAACACCTGGGTTATGTTCTTCCTTTCCTATCTTTCAATTTCAACATCTAATTTTCTTGCCTTTTCATTTCCACTCCATGTCCCAACTGTGGGCTTTGTCATCTCCTAGTGCTATTTAACTTACGAACTTCAATTTGTCACTTTGAGCACAGAGCTCTCTCACCCTTATTTGCACTGCACCGATCTTCAGTTATTTCAGTGTCCTCCAGTTTTCATGACTCCTATATCAACCCCTAGCCACTAATCATAATGACTTAAGCTGTAGTCTCATAAACTCCCCTTTCTGTCTCTATTAGGCTGTATATATAATTTTAAAATTTGCAATAAAATCCAAAGCCCTGGACATAGGCTGTCATTTTCAAATTCTCTGCTTTTGCGGCTAAGTGGCTGAATTCTAGAAAAAGTGACCCATCCACAAATACATGAGAAACTATGCCTTCCAGTCTCGGGGTTCTCTTTCAAATTTTCTTCACTCCCCTCTGGTCTTCTTGCCCAAGAACTTCACATATAAAATGCATGCCATATACCATATCCCCGAGAGCTCCTCTCCCTGCACATTTATTTGCCCATATGCCCTTGTTTTCTAAAGTCTTAGTGGAATAACAGGTGACCTGCCTCTAATTCTTTCCCCTACTATCATATCACATGCAAAACATCTCATACTTCGTTCCTTCTCCATTGGCTCCCTCCTCCCATCTCACAGTGTTACAAACCAACCTCTAAACCAACAAAACTTCTCAGGGAAGCTTCTCCAAACAGTAACCTATACCCTTTGTGTCCTGCCAAGGGAGTGGAATATGACAGAGCCCAGTCAACGATCTTTTAGTGGTCGGCCTCCAAAGTACCTTCTTATGCCGAATCCAGCGTTCCCTTTCACTTTCATTCACTCCAGTTTTATCCCTCGACTCCTCCCTTTGCCACGCCTCTCATTGCTCTCGCGAGACTTGGTGACTCCGTTCTGGGCTCACTTCTCGCGAGGCTGCAGGCAGAGCCCGGCTCAACATGGCGGAAGGTAGGTTTTTTTTTTTTTTTTGTGGACTCGCGCGGGAAGGTACGGAGTCGTAGGGCGCTGCTGGCCAGACGGAGAATCTCTGGAAGGGATAGCCCGGCATGGTCGCATGGGACACAGCGGGTCTCTCGAGCCTTCCTCCACAGCTTCTGCTGAGCTTCACGGGCCGGGGTCCTGAGCGCTGTTTCTATGGCAACGCCCCTCCTGCTGTCTGACCCAGCGGGACCCGGGCTGGCTGCGGATCCGCGGTGGGAGGTTGGGTGCCGTGTTGAGTGCTGCTGCCGGGCGTCTAGGGCGGTAGGGTAGGCTTCTTGTATTATCCGCGGCTCCGGGACGGTGGAGGAAGTGACCCCTTTCTTAGGAAATCGAAAGTGCTGTCCTGGCATGTCCTGCATCCGGAAGGGGTGCATCCTTGCTGAAAAGCTTGGGACTATTCTGGGTGAGGGGTTGGAGAGAGCCAGGGCTGCAAGGGGCCGACGCATCGTCGGCATTCACTGTCTTCTCTGGGCCCCACAGCAGGCTAGGGTGGAGGATTCTTTCTCCGACTTTACAGATTGGGACAGGAGGAAGGGGGTTGCTTTGGTAAGGGAGTTGGCCAAGGTCACACCGCTGGCAAGAGGTGTGCTAAAGCCAGACCTCGGCTCCTTTGTCTCCCAGTCCAGTCCTTAGGTCCTTCCTCCTTCAATGTAGCAGTATTAGGATCCTTCATTGTTAAAGCCTTACTGTACAG